TGCAGAGGGAGCATCTCTGTGTATAATCTTAAGAAAGGGCCATGGCCCACCTACGGGGCCTGACCCAATGGTCTGGATCAGGCCCATTCACTTGGGGCAGCCACAGGGGCAGAGGGTCCATCTGCCCATCCGGTGCCAGGGCTTGCCGCCTGCCTTGCTGGAGCTGCTTGTCCACCCCAGGGCGTCCGCTGGGCCCCGCTCGGCCGCTGTTTGGTCCAGCATCCAGGGATCGCCCTGCTTTCAAAAGCTTGTGACAGAAACAGAAGGAAAGAGGCATTAGCCTGAGTGGTGATGACCCTGTAGAGGGGACCCCACCGAGCTGCAGCGCCAGCCCGAGCAAAGGGGAGGAGGGGAGCCAAGAGGCACTGCCGGCTGAGCAGCTGCTGCCACCCCCACACTGCACAAGCTCCCAGAGCAGACCTTGGGCTGCCCAAACATTCCCTGCAAACCCAAGGTCTGCACCAGCATCCACATGGCATCAGCCCACGCGGCTCTGCCGAGACCAGGGAACAAGGCCAAACCCCACGCTTTGGCTTGGGGCCAGTGCTCAGCCATGAGGATGGGAATGAGTGGCCCAGAGGGAAGGAGATGGGGCTGCACTGTGTCCTGCTCACCCTGAGGGCTGGGAATGAAGAAGGCAGGGCTCAGTGGGTATCAAAGGGGACAGAGGTGCCATGGGAGCCCCAGGGATGGCATGGTGGAGGGGACTGGTGCAATGGAGGGGATCATTGTGGTGGAGGAGACCAGCGTGTGGCTCTGCCTCAGGGCACTCACCGTTATACCCAGAGTCCAGCGCCGTGTGCTAAATTCACTGGGTTCTTCATAGGTTTTTCCACTGCAACGACTCAATCTCCACTCGCTTCCCAAACTCCTTGTGGTGGAAAGGACAGGGAAGTTGTCAGACACAGCAGGAGCAGGGGCAGCCCGCAGCACAGCACCCGGTGCTGACTGCACTCACCTTGTGCCGTTCTCTCACCAGAACGAAGTGAACTTCTTGCCAAAAGCCGACACCGCTGCAGGGAAGTGAGGAGAAGCATCAGCATGTCACAGCCACCCTGGCACCCCTCCTCCCCAGCCCCCAAATCGCTGCTTTTGCCCCAAACTTTGGAAGCACCCCATCCCACTGGCTGCTCCCGGCCACCCCGACTCACCCAACCCTGTCTCACGCCCACGCCCACCCCGTCTCTGGCAGCAGCCCTCACCTTCAGTCAGTTTGCCTGCTTGTTCCGCTGCCCCCCCCGGCAGGATTTTGGAGAAAACGCTCTCTCCTTCTGCTCCGGGCTGCCCTGTGGCTGGGCCAGCAGGACCACGCGGCCCAGCCACTTTTGGACCAGCCTTGCTGTCTGCTGGGGGGCAAATAAAGCCATCGTTAGCAGGGGACAGGCCAGCTGGGGGGGCTCAGCTGAGCCTCAGCCAGCACGGGAGATACAGCGCCCGTGCACTGGGCTGACTGACCTGATGCTCCCAGAGGCTGTGCTGATGGCGCTCTCCCCGGCTGCTGTGGCACTTTCACTGTGGGTTTGGGTGTGTCCGTCTGCTCTGCTTTTGGCTGTAATGGAACAAACAGCTCTCAGGGCTGGCCCTCTCAGCAGAGCATCCTCTGGAGGTGGCCCTGGCTGGGGGCGTGACACCAAAACCCCCAACCACTGCTCCACAACCCCAAAAGAGGAAGGGAGGCATCCAGGGCACAGGGATGTCCTCTCGAGGAGCTGGCTGCTCCCAGCACATCCAGGGGTGGTCTGGTGGGCACATGAGTGGGATAGGCTTTGTCCCAAAGCTCCCATCCCCAACTCTTCCCCTGCCAG